AAAGTAAGAATGACAATAATAAATATATGTTAATATATTTTATTAATTATAATTCAATATACAAGTATTTATTAAATTTTTATTTTTATTATTTATATATGATTATAAAATAGGTTTACAAACTTTATGACCAGCTTAATTTATTCTCATCCTTAAATAAGAAACGTTCGAAAATATGAAACGAAAATGATTCAAAACCTGTTCTATTATACGAATTAAATAGAGATAACTTATTAAAATATTGTATCTTTTAAATGTTATATTATTTAATTCACTTTTTTTTTTCATCAAACTTTGGGTAAAATAAAAAAGATTTCCATTCCCAGCGAAAAAAGTCGAGCCGCGACGACATACACTAATTTTGAGAAATTCCTATATGCTGAAAAGCAATAAAGGATTTTTATTTTATATCATGAGTTTAATTTTTGTGTAACGTTAGTATAAAATTTTATACTGTTAATTAATAGAATATAATATAAATACGTCTTTCAAAATAATTATTATAAAATATCAATAATTTTTATTGATGTAGCAATTAATAATTAAATAATAATATAAAAAATATTTACACTTTTAATATATTTTCATTAAATTCTTATTTCGTTCAATATTTATTTAATTACCATTGATACAAATTATAGAAGAAGCTGAATGTAGTGAATATCTCACTAGTTTACAAGTGTTATGACTGTAAGAATTCTTCTATCTCAATTCAATGGAAAAACTTAGATGAAGCACAACGGTGAACCACATCCTCTTCTATACCAGCTAAACAAGTAGAGTACAATGATCATGTTCTTCTTCTAAAAAAGGTATATAAAAAAAATATATGTTCACCCTTGATTGAAAGTAGAGTAATTGTAAATTGAATTCACTCATTATATGATAAATGCATCTTGATTACTTTTTCATTTTAAATAAGCTGAATCCAATTGCACGAAACAAACTTTCGCAGGCCAAACCCGGTTGTAAGCAACCTAATTCATGTTCCTTGTTCCTGAAATATAATTTTCCTCGTCGATATAGTATTGTTCTTAATTTGTCAAGGCTGAATCAGTGCTGCATCGATCTTCATTGTATTTCATTGGTTTTAGTTCCCAATCAAATAAAACGTCGTGGTTTGATTAAAGAATGTCGGTTCTTTTACCGTACATCCCAAAAAGAGAAGGGGAAAAAAAAAAGGCATTGTGCTATATCAAGCCATAAGAAATGGAGAACTGAATATGCCTAATTATATGCACAGGAGAGAGAGAGAGAGAGAGAAAGCGAACGAGCAACAGCAAAGAACATGGTGAATCGAAAATGGATGGTTTAGCTTTCTTTATTTTGAAAATATTTGTTTTATTTCTTGATAAAAAAAATTATAATATAAATGCTCTTGTAAGTAGGAAAACGTTTCAGATAATGAAACTATAGTAATCAACCTTACAAATACATATCAAAGTCGGAAGTAAGGCAGCACAATCAGCGGACCTGGCGTTGTTCATTGTTCAACACGCGCAACTGGTATTCGTACAAATTGACGTAAGATTCCAGAAGCTTTATTAATTTACACTAACCATAAAGAGACAGAAAAAATAAATCAATAACAGTGAAGAAAATCGTTACCATCTCTGCGGTAGTAAGTATATGAGTGGCAATGGCTACATCATAGAAAAAGCCAAGGGGAGATGTCATTGAGATTGAGAAGCAGGAGTAGATGAGACCGGGATTGTCACAGGAACTACTATGAACAGCGAGTACAGAAGTTTTAAAATTGGTGTCAATTTTTTTCCTATGTAAAATAGTGTCTATGTTTAAGCCTCGCTTGTGTGCATTTAACATTTTTGTGGTATCTTATCTCGCGTTTTATCAAATTAGTTATCTTATCTTAATTACTAAAAATTCATATTATATGTATTATATATTTTTGTTTTTACATTTTTCATATACGTATTCTAAATTATAATTCAAATATAAATGCATGTACCTAATCCAAGTATTGATACAATAATGTAAAATTTTACTGCACTTACATGTGTATAGTTAATTACTTTCAATCTTTGGAAAAATAAAATGTACCTAAATACGAAAAAAGAAAAAATTGTCATCGAATAGTCCATTTTAATCCATGCCATCAATATTTTATTTTCTACATTAGCTTTCAATTATTACGACCTTGACGCACCCTTTCCATCTCGAGTGATCACAATCAAGCGTTGTTTAATTCGCCACGATTTACTGTTTAAGAAATTAATAAATATTAGTTTTGTGAACAAAATGATCAACGATTTCAAAATAAACTTTTGAATGAATTTAGCTCTTAGAATAATTTAAAGAAAAATGATAAGTTAATCTAAGCTAGATTAATTAGGCAGAAACAATAAAGTTAATTTAATTTAAGCTTAAGTTTTGATGGGATGGGGTCTTTTTTTATTATTTTAACATGACATGTCATTATTAATAAATCTGAACGATTCAATTTAATTAAAAATTAATCAATAGATAAAAATAAAAAATAATATTTTTTTACTTTTTTTTCCTTTTTTTTTTTTCATCTTCTAAATTATACTGGTATATCTTTAAATATCTTTCAAATTCCTTCAAAGTAAAAAGGGGTATCATATAATTAAATGGTTTAACGTTGGTTATAAAATATTCTTTATATTTTCATAGAAGCTATCATATTCATAGACATTCAAGTCAACAATCAAAATAACATTCCAAGCTTAATATTTTCATCCAATATGCTACTTTTTAAAAATAAATAAATAAAATAACACTTCAAATAAAATTTTGAATGGTTTGAAAAATTCAATAATAAAAATTTTATGTTAACCAACAACAAACTTATTTTAGAAAGATATAAATTTGATTTGCAATGTAAAAAAGTTAAATTTTACATTTCATTACAAATTAGTCTCTAACTATCTTTTCCATATTAATGTTGTTCGGAGAAGTATACTATGGAGAGTAGTAGAATGAAAGTGTCTCTAGTAGTACGTGATAAAGATAGTTCACAACCTGTTAAAAGAGAAAAAGTTGATTTTTTTCATTTATTCTTGATGTACACTTATACAGGAAATTACCATAGTTAGGAGTCTTTTATACTTCCTTTGTCATTGTTTGGAAGTATTGGTAGCATAAAACGTTGGTATCATAATTTGTTAAAGTGATTTGGGTGTACGTGGTGAACATATTTATTTATAGAAGAAAATATTGTACTAAAACAAAAATATTGAATCATTGCGTGTTTCCTGTTTTGAATGTAATGGAAATGTTGATCGTTAAATTTTGATTTAGGATTGTCTGTTGTTATTATGGGTTTGTATTAAGGTTCTTAGTTGGCTACATAAGTATTTTTTATGTGTTTTTTATACTTTGCTTTTCAAGTAAGGAAATAATGTTATCTACTAAATAATCATGTATATAGTCTAGTGGACAAATTATGAAGTGCAAATTTGCCTAATGTATTTGTAGTTTATCTGGGTGAAATTATTTGCTTATGGAGATCATAAGAATTAACACCCATTCTCTACGTGTATAACCTCAATGTTTTGCTACTTATTTACGTGTTATTTAACAATAATAACTTTCTTTTCGTGGAAATATCTTGTAGCAATTATACATTTTAATAAGTTATATCAAGTAGAATTTGTTCATCCATATTATCTCAACAAGACTTATATAATATATGTTATTTTACAACCATTCATCTTATAAGTGAAGATCAAATGTATTTACCTTCACTGTCACTTGTTTCCACACAATAAAATTTTGATTAAAAGATCTAAAAATTTTATAAAAAAAGAAAAATGAAACACCTAAAACATACAAATTAAAAGTGATAAATATTTCTATCACATGTAAAAATGAAAAGCATATATTTGAACATAGTAAGGCTTTAGAGTTTAGAGTTTAGAGTGTACCAAAGCTTGTATAGGGGAGCTTGTAGGAATTAACTGCTAAGCATGAAAACCGATTTTATTATATGAAATTTAAAATTTATCTTAACCCAAAAAAAAAAAGAATTAAATGTCTTATTAAAAAAAACTAAATTTTTAAATTTAATTTATTTTAGTTATGAATTAGATTATTAAATCTGAATTTTTTGCACACCCCTATATATAATAGATGTTATTTTACAATCATTCATCTTATAAGTGAAGAACAAATGTAATTACCTTCACTAACACTTGCCTCCACATAACAAAATTTCGATTAAAAGATCTAAAAAATTTCTAAAAAAGAAAGATGAAACACTTAAAACATATAAATTAAAGATGATAAATATCTCCATCACATGTAACAAGTGTATAATCTACAACCATAACAAAAATGTTTGTCAAATTTTGATACAGCCACTACATCCGCTAGCTCAAAAAAAAAAACTTAATAAGGGAAAGAAGTAGCATAAGTAATTTCATCTTCCCCTTCTCAACCTAACAATTATATTACACTATAAGTTTCTTATTAACAATCTTTTGCTACTATACCAATGTTATAAGATCTAGCACTTTAGGTTTGAAAAAGAGATCTATAACTTCTACTACTAACATGTAATATGAGATATAATCTACATATAAGACTCAAATTTCTAAAATAAGCATATCATTCAATGTGTCATTTTTCAAATGACAAGATGACATAAGTAAGATATTCACTATTTTGTAATTTCTCACAAAAAGAAGGATTAAAATATGATTTATTTAAAATATTAAAATTAATTTAAAAGTATTTGTAAAAACATAAAGATTAAATATATAATTTAATTTAAAAAATAATTTTGTAATAATTGATTATCTTTTAAAAAAATTATTAAATTAAATAATAAAAAATGATTAACATGTTAAAATGAAAAATGTGAGCATCCTATTCCTATCCTAATATTAATCTCCAAAGCTTACATTTGTAATCCAATCAATAATCCTTTGCAAGTTGCAACAACCTCGCAGTGGCAGCAGACGACAGTAAATACTTAAAATATGAATAAAATATCACCTGAAAAATACGCAAACAAACAAAGGAGATCGATGTCGATGAGCGAAGGAGAAGAATAGAATGGAAAAGAGGCGCAAAAGGAAGCAGAAGGTGGACCCTGAAGCAGAGCGAAAGTCCAAGTCCGTTCGCGTGGGTCCAACCGAAACCGAGAACGTCAAAGCCCCATTCCCATCTCACACTCGACCCACCCCACAAGAATGCCAAGGCGTGCGAGACACTCTCTTAGCCCTACACGCTATTCCCCCGGAACTTGCCAAGTACCGCAAAGCACAACTAACCAATCACACCGACACACCCGAAACCGTTCTCGACGGTTTGGTCCGAACCGTCCTCTCCCAGAACACCACTGACGCCAATTCCCAAAGGGCTTTCGCTTCCCTCAAATCCTCCTTTCCCACTTGGGAACACGTACGCAACACTAACAGCTACGTTTTTAATCACTATCTTTGTCTTATTATGCTGTTGGGTTTGAAACGGTGCCGTTTTTGCATTGTGTGTTGAAGGTTCTTGGTGCCGAGTCCAAGGACGTGGAGAATGCTATTCGATGTGGAGGTCTAGCCCCTACTAAGGCTTCTTGTATTAAGAATGTGCTTCGTTGTTTGCTCGAGAGAAGAGGTAAATTGTGCTTGGAGTATTTACGAGACTTGTCCGTCGATGAAATTAAGGCTGAGCTGTCTCTTTTCAAAGGAATTGGTCCCAAAACAGTAAATCTTCCTTTCCTCGTCTCTCTTTTTTTTAGCGTATTGATTGGGGAAATTGACGAAATTTAGAAGAACTTGTTCTGTTCTTTGTGGCATTGTAAGTTTCTTAGTGTCCATGACTTTCTGGTATCCAAATTTGCTAAGCATCATTTGGGTAATTAATGATAAACTCTGCTATTGTATTGTCTTGTGTTGGTTGCTTTTTGACACTCTTAGTTAAAATTTATTGAAAATCATAAAAGCTAAACGAGTCTCACTCATAATTTATTGATTTTCATTAGATTAGAGATTGTGTTCCTAGCACTCCTCTTTGTCCCATTTGCACCTAAAAGATCATCATTTGCTTTCCATTCTTGTAACATTTTGAGGTGTTGATTACAGCTTTCAAATATGAATTCATTGAGAAATTTATGTATACCTTCTTGAACGGTTCTATTTGCTATTCACATCGCCACAATTCACCAAGTAACATTTAAGCGCAAAATATCTCAGCTGCTCCCACTTTGTAGCCTTGTCAAATAGCCAGATGTATGGCAATTGATGATTAGTTCTGCATTAGGATTTTTCCTCATGTCATTTGGGATTTGATCTCAATGTCTCATGTTCTGTACTAAATTTATCACTTACCATTTTGGTCATCTGTACCCTTTGTCGATGTTATTTGTAACGAATTCAAATTGCTTTTGATAGTGTCGTTAGAAAATTGGATTAAGTAAAATACGTGATTTTTTTCCTTTTTTTTGTAGATTGAACCGCATTTAATATCATAGTATCACAGAATATTTCCTACGTGGCTATATGTATTATTTTTGCTTGTATTATTTCATAAATTGCAATATGTAGTTGCAACATGCCACAGAGTATGGATCTTATTATCCTGAGTTTCTAAATGACTCCCTTTTTTCTTTGTAAACAACAACGCTCAAATGTGGCTGACAAGCTAACATTGTGAAAAATGAGATACATCTGTTAGAATTTGATAAAAATGTGAACTCTACTACATGATGTTGTTCCTCTCCCATTCAATTTTATGTACCTGATCTCTTGTTAATTTTAATACCTACTTTAGTACATTGTTTCCCATTCAGAAGCAACCGTTATGCCAGATTTTAAATTGATTCGGTATTCATTTATCTACAAAAGTGGCACGTTGGCAACTGTGAGAATATTGTTAATATTCATTGTGGTGATTTGCTTTCATCAACTATGTTGATTTTCTATTTTTATTTTTTTAATTTAGTTAAGAGGATATACCTAGTGGAGTTCAAGTATGTCACAGTAAGATTTTGTTGCTGCGCCGTGTCGATGTTTTAGAAATATGTAGTATATTTGAAATCAGGGGTAAAAGAGTTTGAGACACGGACAATATGTTACCACAATGCAGTGTGGTACAGAGAAGGCAATATGTCCCACACACCTCCAAACACCTCTGAATTCAAGTGCTTTGAGATGCTTCTAGCAGATAGGTTTTTTAGGGGACAAATGAACAATATGCTTAATTTGGACATTATATGATTGCCATTAGTGACCGGGGCAAGGGCTTATAGGGTTTCAACTCTTGTAACCTATAGTGAATTCCCTTTTACAGTACCTGTCTTGTCCTAGGGAGTAAAATAATAAGCGTTTCTGTCACCATATTGCTTATTTTATTGAAATATTAAAAATATTTCTTAAGACATTATTCTCTAATTTTTTGAGAAAAGCTAGCAATTCATTCTTTGACACACTGTTTTAATAAATATGGGTCCTACTAAATAGGGTGTAGCACCCACTACATAGGGAATGGAGATCCATCTCATTTAGTTAAGACCATGAATTTCAAATAATAGTAAAAAGTGTGATGGGAAGAGTGTTTTGTGAGCCTCTTAAAATCTTTTTGATGAGAAGTAGGATCATTTTCAGATTGGATTATGGAAAGACTTTTACACTCTGTTTTCGGACATCATGGAATCTATATATTCAGATTTTGTTGATAGTGTATCAAAGATGATTGTATTTCATTGCATTCGTAATAACATCATGTAAAAATTTGTAAAACACTAAATATAATTAATCAATTGAACATAAATATGTATGTTCTTTTCCCCTTCGTGTTGGTTTTTGCTAAATTACAAGATTGATAATAGGTGGCTTGTGTGTTGATGTTCAACCTAGAGCGAGATGATTTTCCTGTGGACACTCACGTAAGCTTGATTCTATCTTTCTTTTATTTCAGTTTACTCCATTTAGTTGTTTCTAACACAGAATATTTATGCAGATATTTGAGATTGCAAAAACCATCGGTTGGGTTCCCGCTGTTGCAGACAGAAACAAGACGTATCTTCATCTAAACCAAAGGATCCCAAATGAACTTAAGTTTGACCTGAATTGCCTTCTGTTTACGCACGGGAAGCTCTGTAATAAATGCTCCAGTAAAAGGGGTGCTAATCAGCAACGAAAGAAATGTAATGATAACTCGTGTCCTTTATTGAATTATTATGAAGAGTCGGTTTGAACTTTGAATTTTGCGAACAAATTACTTTCAATCACTTGATTTTCTGATTGTATAACTTCATAAAATGCTAATGGTATAGATTACACATGTAATATAAAACCATTCAGCGGTCATCATCTAACATTTTAAGCTTGTGGGATAGTTTGATTCAGTTAGGTGAACATATCTGAATGATTATATATTACATCTCTAATATGTCCCCTAATGGAAGAGCTTTTTACACTTCATGCTTGAGTAATGTCTCACCTAACTTAATAGTGAATTCAACTTTTTATTAGAAGAATGGGCTCAACAAAGATCAAAACTCTTGACCAATAAGTCATAGAGGTTCTGAATCTGATCCTATGTTATGCGTCAACAACCCAAAGCTTAAGTTAACCCATGAATGATTTGATATTACATATCTGATAGCATAGTCCAAAATTCTATGACTAATTTAATGCAAAGTGAGGATTGAGGAATTATATTTACAGGGGGTGATTGGGTGTAAAAAAGAGAGATATAGAAAGAAAGGAAAAGAAAAAGAAAGTAAAATATGTGATAAGTAACGTGAAAAAGAGAGAAATGATAAAATTGGATCACAAAAAATGGGATGTAAAAATACTATTATTATTATAAACTTTTTGTATTTCAATATTATTGGGCCCAATTGGCTGTCTGTTTTTTAGTTAAAAAACTAAAAGTGCAGAGGATAAATAATTCAAGCTACATTTATTGAAAAAGAATCTAAACCTATTTTTTCGTTCCAGCTTTATTTATTTCAAAGTGTAGCTTAAGTTTACAGAATTAATATTAAATGTTATATTAATTTATTCATTTTAGAACAAATGAATTAAATTTGAATTTCTAATTTAATAATATTAATTTTGTTTACTTAATTACATAAGAATTTAGTCAAGGCAAAACTAAAATTAAATTTTAATATAACAGGAGTATTCGTGGTTCAATTTGAGGTTAGTTCGTATAGAAAAACTTGTAACTCGGTTAAAATTAAATATAAAACTAATTTAAATAGATCTTTTATAATTTGAATTGTATCACTTTTATAGGTTTTGTTGTTGTTTTTTTTTTAAGAAATAACACTATCTTTATGTTGACAAACAAATAAAATTTCGGTAGAGTAGATATACTGTATTAATACAAAATACTATAAGAGATTGTTTATGATATGATATTATAAGATAATAACACATTTAAAATATTGTGGTTGATATCAACATCGTAAAAGTATTATTTTAAAATGCTGTTGAGATTGTTTGAGATAGTCTATTGGCACAATATACAATACATTTTAGGTTAGGATGCATTTAAGGTTAACATAAATTTAAGTATGCTTTATAGTTTATTTGAGCATGAGAATTTTTAAAAAAAGATTGAATAAATATAATTCTTTAATTTTTCTTTTTTAGTTAATAAACTGTTCAATTTTTTTTTTCGTTTTGTTAAGTTTAATAGTTTAAATCAATTTTTGAACACATGTAATATTTATATGTATTTGTGTATGTGTGAATTAGTTTAACCGAGTGCTGAGCCTAAAGACAGTTATCTCCAGAACCCAGGTTTATATACATGTGTGTGAATCAGCTTAGGCTACTACAGCTGTGTGTTTCGAGAGTTACTGGATTTCAATGTTTGGTAAAATAAATTTATGATTTTTAGGGAAAAAAAAATTTGTGTGTATTAACAAGTTAGTAAAATTATTTAGCAAATAGAAAGAAAGAATTATAACTTTTGAAAGTTAAGTTATAAAAAATTATTTAAAATGATTTTTAATTTATTGAAAGCTAGTTATTAATATTTTTATTTTTATATGTAATCTTTCTAATAATTTATATTCATACAAAGCTAATTATATATTTCACATAAAACTATTGATCTTGTCCACACTATTTCATTTTTATTTAAATAATTAGTTTGTATTAAATAAAAATAACAAATATTTAACTAATTAATTGATAATAACTAAAAAATAGGTTAAAAAATTAATATTGATTTATGAATTAATTTATTTAAATAATTAAATGTTCAGTACATTCGTGTCTCGTTAAAAAAATTGTCAATGTAGCTAAGAAACAATATAAAAAATAAATTATGAATAAGTGTACGAACTAAATGGATATCTTAATTTATATTAAAATATTAACATAAATAGTTAATAATAAACAATAAGTTTAGTGATATTTAATTGAATTTTAATACTATAATAATATAATATTACACATTATTTTTAAGTCTGTTAAGACATTTCGGTTAATTTTTTAATTTATTTAATTAACAGTTATAATTCAATTAATTAAATATAAGTTATAAATTATAAATTTATAGATAATTTATTAAGTATAAATTATGAATATTTATTAATTTTACTTAACAATCTTTTATATTTAATAGAATTTTTATGTTAAAATTCAATGACACGTGCACCCGTGGGAGTACTCGAATTGTAAGTTAAGCATAGGACGTGTTTTAATATTATCACATATTTTTTTATAAGAAATAAAATAGAATATTATTTTAAGATGTATTAATTGTTAAATTTTTTAATAAAAAATTAATTAACGTGCACAGTGAACTCCAGGCGTTGCATTCATCAATGGCTAACATCAATTATAAAGAACAAAAGTTTTCACGGATAAAGCAATTGCCAAATTTAATTACAAAAATTTCCAAAGAGGGGTCGAAACTGAAATTCACGTATAATTTGCCCCATTTACGTGTGATTTCTTCACTCCGAAGTGGCTTCCTATGGCGAAGCATTGATCAGATCTTAGCCACTCCTCGTTCCCCGCAAGCATAATCCAAAACTGGTTTCTCCTTCTCTTCTCTTTCCCCTTTGTTTCAATCCAAGTCTGCAAAACACCACACGAAAATCCAATGTTTCCTTCTCGTAATTACTCGGCATGTCTGCTTCTCTGCCTCCTCGTACTTTCCACCTTCTACAACTTCTCCATGTCTCACTCACAATCTCCTTGGACTGCAAAGAAAATACGCATGAAAGAGAGAGTTCGCAATATGTATGTAAATTTCACCATCGCTCCCGCTCACTTTATCACCAAAGCTTCTGATTATCGTTTTTCATTTAGTAACTCTTTTCGCATTTCAATTTTCAATCGATTGATCTCTTTCTCAGCAATTTTTAGCTTCGTGAAATGTATCTAAATTTTGGATGTAGAAAGGGAAGAACACGTTAAGTAAATAATATTGAATATTTAATGTATTATGCAACTTTAATCCTTGAATTACACTGAATTTTAATCCTTTGGTAATTATCTCTTTATGCAATTTACTTAGAGAATGATAATAAATTTTGTAGAAGATGCAATGGCTGCTTATTCTTATCATTCTTTTTGTTTTCTGGTACTCGTGTTTGTTCAGGTTTTACCATGCGTATGACAACTATATGACTTATGCATTTCCGGTCAGTTAATGTTATTCATTGTTTGTTGTTTATTAATATACACGCATTGTGCAAAGTCAAGGATTGTCATATTCTCGCAGCATGATGAGCTTAAACCTCTGACTAAAACTTTCACCGACTCCCTAAGTGAGCTGGGAAATTTGAAGGTAAGTTATATCTGTTTAAGAACATGTGAATAAAAATAGTCAGAGAAAGGCACAAGTAAGTGACTGTTTGCTAATTGCAGCTTGAACACTTGCCTCAAGACTACAACGGATCTGCCCTTACGCTTATTGAATCGCTGTCTAGGTATATGATCCAGCTATATTGCATGAATTTTTAGTTTGTTTAATTCTGTTTTTATTCAATTTGGTACTTATTGTGATGAGCATGTCATCTTGTTGTGTATCTCGTTGAACTGGAAACTGATACATATTGTTCTTTTGCCTCTAGCCTTGTTATTATGGGTAATAATACTGAATTTGAGAGGGTGGTACGCTGGCTTTCGGAAAATCTAACATTTGATGTTGATGCACGCATAAATCTTTTTGAGGTAAATATTGGATTCAGTTGCAACTATATATATTGAAAAGTCAAGTCATTTTCATTTACTTCTGAATGATGTTGAAAAATATTTATTCTAAATACTTAATTCTGAAGCACAGTTATTTGTTTTCCTTGTCACTTTATTGTAATCATTCAGTGCAACATAAGAGTTCTCGGAGGACTTGTTTCTGCTCATTTAATTGCTTCTGATTCTTCAAAGAATTTGTTTCAAGGAGCTTACAAGAATCAGCTGCTAGTTCTGGCTGAAGATTTAGGGAAGCGTTTTTTACCAGCATTCAATACGCCTACTGGATTGCCATATGCATGGATTAACTTGAAGGTACTAGATCAACTTACAATTTTTATTTTTTTTCATTTAACTTGGTTGTAAGCATTTGAATGTCTAAAGATAGGTAAGGTTTGTTCCCCAACAGTCAGAAGTTCTCATCACATCACTAATAGTAAAGAAAAAAGTTAATAAAGGAAAAAGCCTTTCTCCTCTCCATTTGAGCTGAAGCCCAGACGGAAAAGGAGTAAGGAGTAACCATTACTCTTTGTAGTAAAGAATTGTTTCTGCTATTAATTCTTATAATGTTAAGAGTCTCATTGATTGGGTTAGCTTAACTAATTGTACTATACTAATACTTGACCTAAAATAGATTAGTATAAATTGGAGTGTTAAAAGTATCTTGAATCTGATATGAACACATCTTTATCTCTCTTTTATCCTTTTCATCTTCTCTCAATAATTTGAACATGCTGTCAGTGTAGTACCAACATCCTCCATGGCATGATCCTGTCACTTTTTGTTATGGAGTTCCCAAAATATTGAACTCCTTTGTTTGGATATCCTTCTCTCTCACTCTGCTTTATATTCCCTTGGCTGTCCGTTTTACAGCATGTTTTTCCTGTCCAACTGCTCTCTCTAGATTTGCCCTTTACATTGTCATATCAAATAGCTGACCCCATCATTCAGTTCAAAATTACCCAGTTTCGGGAACTGAAATTTTAGGTTTATCAGCCCATCCATGTGTGCCACCCCTCTCCATCGGCCTCTTCAACATGCTGGCATGCGACCATGCTTAGTCCTTCTTTTTGGCACATTCCTCCATCCACATATCAGCTTTTCCTCTTTTGCTCAGTTTATGACCATTTGGCCCTTGTCCTGTGCCGTTTGTCTGCATTTCTGTCTGTTTGGCTGTTTAATCTTTACGTTCCTCCTTGAATTGACATATTCTGCACCTGCCTATTCTTGCATCTACTTGCTGTGCTCCTGGCACTGTTTGACTGTTTATCTTTGTTTGGCTTTGCTTGGACTGTTGATTGAGCTGAGCTGTTGTGAGCCAGTTCAAGCCCATTCAAGAAAGATCGAGTTTTTCTCACTCCATACATGGCTTCCAATGTTTATGGGTTTCGTAACTTCAGTTTGAGGTTATTGTTGTTGTGTAAAGCTTCTAAATCTGTTCTGACAAATGTGAAAATCTTTGGGCCTGCTTCACTCGATTGCAAGTTATTATGAATCGCACATTGAGTAGAATAGGGAACTCTATATAGTACTTATGTCGTGGGGTTCTTCCTCCTGATGGACTAGTTTTTTTAGTTGAACTCTCCTTGTATGTTTAAGTCATAATAATTGGTAGTTTGGCAATATTACAAGTCTCACATGGAGGCATTGAGCTTCCTATTCTACTCAATGTATGACTCCTAATACAGGACACAGGCCCACTATGAATACGTCTAATGATATTTTCTCTTGCATTGTGCATCTTACAAGCAATGTCTCTTCTCCTTGGCCGTGCAATATTCCAACCTTATATTGTGATTGTTCATCATCCCTGCTCTTGTTATGTTATCTTCCCATGGTAATGCTTATTTTGTTATCTCTCCAGCAGCCAACAGTTTTTGGGATGCCCCATTTTGTTATGTTGTATCTCCAGCTATATGGTTTATGGACCCAATTATATCTTTAAATTATGTTCTTTTTAAAGGTGTTTATCTGTAACAAGCTGATATGTTAGGAATGTTATTATGCTGGGCTTGAAATAGCTGTACCATGCATGTAAATGACCTAAGTATATTAGTGTAAAAATGAGCATTTGGTTATATCACTCTTTTCTTGTTTCCATCTCTGTAAGTTCAACAGTTTTAAAGGAATAAATGCTGTTAACTTTTGCATATCTGTGCCAGATCATAAGTTAGGACTGTGACGTGATGCAACCCCAGTTCTATATTATTAGCCTTTATTTTAGTGGTAATACAGGAATAGATGTAGACACATGCCTGCATGCTGCATTTATAGATATGCAATGTAATCATATAGAACACATTTACCTGTATTTTTAAAACATATATTATACATTAAAATAAATTTGATTGATAAAGTAACAATTAGTTTTTAAATTGTATGAACTTTGTAGACTTGATCTCCTCAATGAGAACTATCAATTTAAAGGTTGAATTGGATTAGTGAAATTCGAAGTCCATAAAAAGTTGTTAAATAGAATAAGTTTGGCAAGATCCACTCTTAGAGAAACTAAATCCCCAACCTATACATACATACATACATCAAAGACTTTAACTCTCTCAGCATTATAAGATGTTAGTCTTTGTAATTGAACTATGTTGCTTCAATTTTTTAGGCATATAAAGTTTATTGTTGCATTTCCTTTCTTTTTTTACCCTTTTAGAATGATATATAACCCTGCACCAATGCAAAATATTCTGTGCACAGTATGGAGTAATGGAGAATGAGACTACAGAAACAAGCACTTCAGGGTGTGGTGAGAGGTCTAGCTTAGTGTTTCAAGACTAGGGTATAGTAAAATGATATGTTTGATTGCTTCTAATTTTCCATCTTTGTGCAGGTTCTCTGATTCTTGAAATGGGTGCTTTATCAAAAATGACTGGTGACCCCATATATGAATCAGTAGCTTTACGAGCTCTTCGTAAGCTATGGAGTATGCACAGCTCATTAAAATTATTTGGAACCACACTGGATGTGGCAACTGGGCAATGGATTGAATATTCTTCAGGAATTGGAGCTGGTTGGTTAGCTCTGACTTTGAACTGAAATATTCTCAATCTTTCATTTCATGGGATAGCCTAGAATATCATCTGCATGCTTATTGGCCATTAATTTTAGAAATGAACTGTCTGCTGCTATTGACTGCTTGATATTTTTAGTTACATCTTAAATGACAGATGCTTATGGGCTGGCCTTGATGTTTCTGATATTGTTTTTCTTTTTGCTGGATTATTCTAGGGGTGGATTCCTTCTATGAGTATCTACTTAAGGCCTATATCCTTTTTGGAAAGGAGGACTTTTGGAAAATGTTTCATTCTGCTTATGTTGCCGTGCAGAAACATTTCAGACATGGTCCTTGGTACACTAACTGCAAAAATAGATTTTATGTTATGGTATCTACAATAGTATGTTTATTCAGTACTTAAAAAAAGTATTGGTGGGAGAATATAATCAACAGCTGTAACCTGGACTAGTTGGCCTAATGCAGGTACCATGAAGCTGATATGAGGACAGGAAGAGCAACTTATTGGCAGCTTACAAGCCTTCAAGCATTTTGGCCTGGCCTACAGGCAAGTAATTGGACTTAAAATATCACTCAGTTAAAAGTGAGGTTTTATATATTTCTGGGTTTGTCTGACTTGTGGGAACCAGGTTCTTGTTGGGGATATAATTGCTGCAAATTCATCTCACCGTGAGTTCTTCAATGTGTGGAAGAGATTTGGAGTGATACCAGAAAGGTATTTTGTGATTTTGCTTGTTTCATTATACATTGTTCTCATTGTACTTCACCATCAATATGTCATCATGTTTTTGTTACTACAGTACTACATAATATTTCACATTGAATCGTAAATCCATGTAAAGGTATTTGCTGGACCACCAGATGCTTCACCCTACTGAAAAATATTATCCACTGCGCCCTGAATTGGCTGAGTCAACATTCTACTTATATCAAGCTACGAAAGGTCTGATGGTTCTCTATCTTTGTATTTTCAGTTTGTTGTTATTGGGGCATTAGGTTGGACTGCTTCTAAAATAACATACCCTTTAAAGATTGGTGGACATGCAAATACTTCTTTCAATGATAAAAGAGTCTTGGAGACTATATTTAAGAGGACATGTTCTTAGCAATAGCAATATTTAAGTTGAATAAGCTGTGGCTTGGATTGTTCAAGTTGTATTACATCAGCAATTAACCTAGAATATTAGTATAAAAATTAGTATTATCTTGGTATTTTGTACCGGCACAACATCAAAACAATATCACAATTATTCACTTCTATGGATGAAATATATTCTCTTTTCAATTTATTCTCTATAATGTCAATAGAGACAATTGTATCCGACCAACACTGATACAGTCATTACTCCTTCACATCAACCTTTGTTAATTTCAGATCCATGGTATATTGAAGTCGGTGAATCAATAGTCAATTCCCTTAATCTATACACCAAAGTAGAAGGTGGGTTTGCTAGCATCAAGGACGTGACAACAATGCAGTTGGAAGATCATCAACATAGTTTTTTTCTTGCTGAAACGTGAGATCTTTTCTTTCCTCTTGTATCATGCAAGTTTTTAAAAAATACAAAACAATGAAATTTTTCTCACTCAAATAATTGCTGGACTTCGATTATTTAGTAATGATGATGTGTTTTCTGCAGGTGCAAATATTTATATCTTCTATTTGATGATTCATTTGTGGTTGAGAATAATTATGTATTTACCACTGAAGGTCATCCCCTTCCCGTAATAAGCACTTGGCATGAAGAGCTTCCAGAAAGTTATATTCCAACTAATTGGACTTCCGTGAAGGTATTTTAGCAACATACTGTAGTGATATTGTAGATTTTGTTTACTTAAATATCAGGGAAAAGTGTACGGAAACCTCTCAAACTTTTCCTCATTTGCAAAATGCCACTATGAACTTTTTAAAGTTTAAAGCTGTCCCAACTAGTCACTAAGCTAATAATTACAGCAGTAGACCCTCCCATCCACCTGCTGTTGAGTCCCTAACAGAGGAGTGATGTAACAAAATAGTAGCCCTCTATCCTGACCGTTCATTAATTTATCCTTTAAAGTATATATATTTATCTATTTTTTTAAAACTTCCAGTTTTTAAAAAAGTAATTAAATACAAAAAATTTATAAGCATAGTAGTAGTGACCGGTTCCCCCTTCACTTGCAATTGGACTTGCCATATAGAGCTTCTTTCCGCATTTAATGCAACCTCTTATCATTCCCACTATCTCTTCACCTATCTCAACCACCTAATGCACATGCAGATGAATCAATAATTAGATATTATCCTATGATTCCGTTATTAATATTTGTACTTTCATATGTCTTGTTAAGACTAGGGATTTAACGAGGTTGGTGAAAAGGACTGTCACATTACTATGTGCAATAGTAAAATGATTAGGCTTGAAAAGGAAGAACAACAATGCAGGTGGTTGCTTACTAATGATAGAATATAAAAAAGAGAGGGGGCGGAGGGTGGAGAAAGAAAGGAAAAACGTTGATTGATTGGTGCCAATATAATACCAGCATGAGGAAAGGTGAGTACTGCCTTGCCAGACCTTGTAAATTGGGTGACTGCTGGTTGTCGAAGAGGGAAACCTTGCCACTAGGTCCAACTCCACACATTCTCTCTCTCAACAGCTTACACACCCTATGTCTTTATTTGGGTAAAAGTGAAACGCCGATTACCACCGTAGCAAACTTCTCTCCATATCTTCTATTCTGCTAAACAAGTTACAGATTTGTGGGTGATGAGGGGACTGCAAAGCGTTGCAGATTTGTGGCTGGTGGAGAAAAAAAGAATTCTCTGTAAATAACACAATCTGATTTTTATTTCTTCCATTCCATTTGCATGTGATGTTGAAACAATACATTCTAGAATCATTTATATATTAATATTTTCTAAAAAAAAAATTTCATAAAAAGAAAAGACTACAAGACTTCTCTTGTTAGGGATGTGTGGACTTGGTTTAACAAGCTGCGTGATCCTCACTTACACAACATCTGAAAAATGTATATTTATCTTCTGCGCAGAGGCAACCAACAGCAAATCGAGTCAGTGCAATGTCTTTGCAAGTATGTCCTGCTATGACTTTAAAGTCAGGTCAACATATTGAGAGTGCTTGCCACATCCCCGATGCTCGTAGTGATTTCAGGTGTTTGACTGATGAAGATTGTGGAGTTGATGCCGTTACATGCAGACGAAGATCATGCAGCATGGCTGGTTATTGTGGGCTATGGCTCTTCATATGATACCATGCTGTTTACAAATATTTTTTCTTAGGAACAGAGAATATTAATGAAAATTTACATTATAAAAAAAGATAAAATGCAATTGCAGCTTTGTCAATCATTAATTAGCATCCATCGGGTTACAGGATTAGAGTAAGGTAGGCACATATTTGACAGTTTTGTTTAAAAGGTATTAGCTTTTATTCTGAGGCATGCTTTTACAGAAGTAAAGATGGGAGAAACGAGCTCGTTGTATTTTTCCATTACACGTTCTTTAATTTGATACATTGAAAATCTGTATTTATTTCTTCAGGCGACTCTTTTCCTTCCCATTTTAGACCTATTGAGCATATCTTGGTACAAGAAAATAATAAATCGAAGCTTGAATTGAAAGACAAAACAAGTGTGTAAAGAGATTGACGTTAACTTAATTTTATGCATATTTGTCTTCCATTTTTATGATAGAGAATATTGGCAACACATATTTTCAATCACACTTTTTATTATTGTCTAAATTGAGTCTCATTTTTAATTTAACAATTTTTACTCATATTTTTATAGTTTTAAATTAATTTTAATTAATAGATGAGAGTGTATTAAAAAACATTTTAAAAATTGTATTTCTAATATTGTTATTTTTTAGGATTTTTATCCTATTCAGCTGCTCTCAGTTCACATGGAGCATTTAAGTTGCTCAAACGGGGCAGAACTTCTTTCTTTTGACCTTTTACTATTTAAACAACTCAATCTAAAAACGATTTCAAATAGGTCTCACTAATTACTTTATATATTTGTTTTATAACTATCGTATTGCTATAGTTGTTGTATTTGCTGGTGTCTGAATTTTAATTCAATGACCCAGTGCTTATTTTAAGAATGGTTGCTTAACTTTTTTCGCCACCTAAATTGCTTCAGTCCTAATTCTGGTTTTAGGAACTGTAGTTTATTATCCGATTGTTTTAAAATTAAGTAAAATCAATTTTAAATTATTAAATGTAATTGAGATTTACATCTGAATTAATATCACCGTGTGTTTGGCTATAATTAATAGCGATAAAGTAAACATGAATAAACAAAATATGCTATAAATAAGTAGATCTTCTGTTTGCATTGTTCTGAATGCAATCTCATTATAGGTTAAAATTTAAGTAATCGGTCCGAGTAGCTTTGCAAGTAGATAAGTTAAAATTTATAAAGTTTTAGAGTTTACTTGTTTAAATTATTTAAATTAACTTTAAACTTAATTTGGTTTGTTGATTAAACAGATGTGTTTTATTATACGACATTCCATATTCATAAAATCATCATTCCAGTTCTATTTGGATGAGAGGGAAAATAAAAAAAAAATAAGATAATGAAAAATAGAGTAAACTGTATTTTATATTTGGACGGATTGAAATAAAAGAGAAGATAATCGTAAAAAAAATATTTAAATTATATTTAAAATATTTATAAAAAATTAAAATTAATTTAAAATATTTATGATAATTTTTTTTGTCTTTTTTATAATTTTTATATTATTTCATATTTAAACAAGTAAAGACAACCCTTGCCCGTATGTTTTCCCTTCCATCTTTCCCTATGTACTTTTCCTAAAATGGGACGATTTTTTTATGGTAGGATCTATATATACAATAATAATAAATAAATAAATAAAAACCTTTCCTGTTGCATTGCATCCAGATAAATAAAAACCTTTCCCTGTTGTGGATCAATTGACAATAAATTATTCTAACTTAATAACATGTGATATAATAAAAATCTTAATATTAATAATAAAATCATCTTCTATCAGTTAGAAATATATTTATAAAAATTGATATAAAATATAACAACAATAATTATATTTTATTTTATTAAGCAAGGTCAATTACATAAACAAGACAGTGTTGAGTTTGATAAAAACTAATTTTTCAACGATATAATTAATAAAAAAAAATTATTTTAATAACTTTTTAAAAGATTATTTTGAGTCTCATTTTACAAAAGTCATATAATTCACTTTTTTTTATTAATGTTTATAAAAATATTTTTTATACACGATCAAACACTTTAAAATTTATTGGTTATATTTTTACTAATATTTTAATATATACTCTATTTTTTATTTTTTTATTTTTTTTACTTGGTCATCCATCCATTTTAGCATTTTTATATTTGTTAATTATTTCTTCTTTTCACATTATTTACTTAAAGCTTAACATTTATTCATATAAATATATTTTTAATATAAAGCAACACATAAAAATAAATGATTAAATTTTGATTAAAATTATAATATTTAATACATAATTCTATTAATTTTCATAATTATATATATAGAAAGAGAAATAAATAGATAAAATTCACATGTTTGCTCAAAGTAAAACTTCGTTTTAAATAATTCTCTCTCACCAGATGTGTGAGCCAGCTGGAACATTGATAATGTCAAAAACTGCTGGGCGACAACTCAACTGGGCCACATTCAATTTCAAAGAAAAAAAATATAAATTTAAGTGAATTATGGATAGTGGTGTTGTGGAACCCCCTTTTTATAAAATTATACGTGCCATATGCAGTCTCTCCCTTGCATTTTAATGGTAATTTAGAAAAACAATATAAAATATAATAGTTAGAGTTTAAATTTTATCACATAAAATTTATATTTTTTCCTTCAAATAATATATATATATATATATATATATATACACATGATTTTAAAGTTAAAATAAAATATTTAAAGAAAAATTTTATTCTCCGACTAAATCAAGATTATTTTCAATAAAAATAATTGTAATTTATAAAAAAATATTTTAATTTTTTTATATTATCTGTCTGGCTTTTTTCTCTCTCTCTTTTATATTCTCTTATCCAATGAGATATATACAGCGAGTAGATATCAAAATATCTTTTTAAAAACTAAAATTTGTAATTAGTTCAAGCCAGCAATCTCTCACCCGTTTGGATAATTTCTTTTCCTTTTAATAGAGTACATTCTTTTATTTTTCAAAATATTCTTTTATATTTTTTTATTTTATTTGTAATCGAAAGTTAAAAAATGCCTGGACAAATTAAAATAAAAATAATTTATATTTAAAATTTTAACTTTATGCAATAGACCCAATCCTTTATGCTGGCTTATTTTCCAACTCTTAGTACTTGTTTAGATTTCACTTGTTACACTTTTCAGTACAAATACATGATTTAAGCTCGTTTGTACATAATTTCTAACACAATTAAATGGTAAGAGATTTTTTTCAACTCTCACAAAGCTTCATTTTTAACTAAAACAAACAGAGCCCTTTAGATTTATCTTGTACTAATAGTAGCGAAGAACCATTGGATATCAATATATAACATTTCATATGTTATCTGTATTTATCTTTTATTTTTATCTTGGCGTTTATTATACCCCCACTAGTTTTTTTAAATAAAAAATATTAATATGCTTTGTTTTAATTATAAAAAATTAATTTTAGACACATTAATTGTTAATTTTTTGTATCATTATTCATTGATGTTTATTTAATATTATAAACGTTTTAAAATATAAATAATTTATAATGTACTTTTTGTTTTAATAAATTAATTTTTATTATTTATAAAAAATCCAACGAGCATTAATATGTTATTCATCAAACAATAATTATGTGATTCAAAGTTACATGATCTCATACACTAATATTATATCTTACGTTAAAATTTGATAATTTAAAAAATATACATATTGTAACATAATTGACCAAAACCAGAAAATTTAAAATGACATGAAAATATTTCGGGTGGTTTCTGATATCTGACATGTGTTGATGCATGGATTGGTACGGAAGGTACTTTGGGGCATGAAATGATTATGATTCTTTCTCTCTCTTTTGATAGTTGTTGGTACTGATACTAACAGTGTCAGAGTTGGGTTCTCACCTCTCACCGAGTAATGAGATAAGGATGGCATTGGCATGGAAGCAGAGAACAGTGCTTACAGCCATCATCCAGCTGTAAGCCATGAATGAATGAATGAATGAGAATGCTATCATCTCAACAACTTGGGTTTCTCTTCTCTCTTCTCTCTTCTCTCTCTCTGGTTCTTTGGACTCGTATTGTATCATATGCATGCAACCAGCAACCAGCAACCAAGTTGGACTAATTTGACCCCACCAATATTCAGACAAAGTAGTTGGACCATCCTCTCCTCCTTTTCACTCAAATCTCAGCTGAGCATTCCTATCAGCATGTATATGTTTTAAAATATGTTGAAAATTTTATAAATATTAAATCATTTTATATTATATAGCTACATTTTTTATAATTTTTAAATAAAAACTAATAAACGCTGTTCAATATATATTTTATAAAATAATACAAAATTATTAAAAAAATATGTACAAATAAATATAAATTCATAAATACTTAAATAAAAATTCAAGCATCTATGTTAATTTTAAAAAACAAAGAAACAGACGTCCCGAGGATATTCATATATAAATATATAATTTTTTTTGGATTGGTAATACAATATAAAAACAAGAAAAATATTTTTCTACAGTAGATTTCGAAAAAAGAAGGAAAGATAAAATAATAAATAAGATGAATGAAAATAAAAAATACAAATATTAATTATTCACATGCGTAAATACATTTATAAGTAAAAATAACTGTAGTTATAAATTTGATTAAATGAGCTTTGTCTTAATCTACTCGCTAACTAGGCAAGAGCAAATACAAAAGTACTCAAATATATGAAATTGTTGAAATATCTGTATATATTAAAATGAATTTGACCTTAAATTTATTATTTTACAATGCTCTTAATATGTGCTTGAATCTAATATTGTACTATTAATGCTGTATAAAATATTGTATTATTTTATAATTTTTAAGTATTCTTTTTTTAAAATGGTGACTTATATATAAGTCAATATAAATTAAATTAATTTAAATATATTTTATCTATATATAAATTTAAGTAAATGCTAATTATTTATAAAAATATGAAATAATTTGTAGTGACGTTTATTTAATAAATTTTTTAAAAGTTACATGATTAGAATCGAGATTGTTGAAATAAAAATAAGGAGTGGTGTATTACTGTAAGACTCGTATGAGAATTAATAAAATAAAATATAACAATTTAAAAGAGTTTTATTATCAAAGATAATCTAAATATAAAAAAATAAAATTTAGAAAGACAAATAAAAACTAAAGAAATTATTAAACATAATTAATAATATGTCTTTAAAATAATTTTAATTACATACTAATATTTTATATTTATTAGGGGTGTTTGACAAAAGGCACTCCAACGAAATAGTGAAAATACTGACTGAAATAATGTATCTAAGAGGCTCTCGCTATGGCTGACGTTGACACGAAACACACACAACTGTTTTGGCATTCGGCAAATAAAATCCAAAAATCTCTCAAAGATATGCATGTAAATGACAAAGATTGGGTTATTTTGGTAATTTCAATTTGCAAGATATGAATTGCATTGCAACTTGCAAGTACGGTTTTTACATATATAAATGCTGTATATGTAGGATGAGCATGTTGCCGACTCAATCTTAGAATCCAAACACACTACCATTTGCTACCTTCGTTCTTCCTGCAATGGCAATACGCCAGCTTCTTGTGTTGGGAATGTTGCTGCTTCTTTGCCTCTCTAAGGTATACTAATTAACGTTAGCTTCATTTTGTATATGCCCAACAAATCAAGTACCCTTTTTTGTCAAGGTTTAGTTAATATTGTTCACTTGAAGTTGATAGTGAATCTTTTCTTTTCATTTCCACACCCCCCCCCCCCCTCTCTCTGTTGTGCAGGTTTCATCTGATTTTAAGATAGAAAAGGAAGAAGATGAAGAACTGTCATTCCCTAATGAGCCTGTATGCGGTTTTTTTTTTGTTTTATTTATTTAAGCTAAAAATAGTAGCCCAAAATTTTTCTTTACTTTTGATGATTTTCTGAAGTGCTTAACATAACCATAACCACGTTTATGTTATAATACCTCTACTGGAAATTTTCTTCAGCTTACTGTGAGAGACGGGAATAGAAGGTTAATGCAAGACATAGGTAAGAGAAACAAAAGGAAAATTTGGCACTTTATTGGGTCATTTTTTGTTACGTTTTTTCCAGTTTTAAGCATGGAGTTGTATATTACAGTGAATCTTCCTAGATACCCATATGATGAAGAATAAAAACAAGAAATGGGTTTTAATATTTTTTGGGGGCTGTTTTTTCTTTGTGTAATTTGGTGGTGTTGTTATCACTATGCAGATTGCGGAGGATTGTGCAAAACAAGGTGCAGTGCGCATTCGAGGCCCAACCTGTGCACTAGGGCTTGTGGGACATGCTGTGTGAGGTGTAAGTGTGTTCCACCTGGCACCTCCGGTAATAGGGAACACTGTGGGGCTTGCTATACTGATATGACCACCCACGGCAACAAAACTAAGTGCCCATAGACCTAAAAATGCCCATACATAAGCCCAGTTGGATTGGGCTCCCTTTGCTTCACTCCAAGCAGCAACTGTTGTAGTTCAGTAAAATGTGTGCGTGTGTTGTTATGTACACTTGTATTTATAGACTTGTGATCTAATTCTAGTTTTTACTAATGTTATGTTATGCTACTGTTTGAGCCATATATATATAAACTTTGTCTTTATATTTCTCAATTTATATGATGCATTGCCCTTCTTTTGAATTCGGGTTCCAAACATGTATTGTGAGCCAAACATGTATTGTGAGGGAGGGAATTACTAACATAAACTAACTTTTAATGTTTCATGTTGAATGTCCAACTTTTGAGTCTACAAAATTCAAAATTAGCTACAGAAAACGTATTTTTCAACGTTGAGAATGTAATTTAATGTAGTTCATTAAAATTTTCAGACTCTATCCTGTAAGAAAGATGCATTTGGTGAGCAAGAAAAGATATTTTATTATATATAAAGTCAAATATAATAGAAGATGTAATTCGTTATCTTAAATCACTGGACTTAAATTCCATCTGAAAGTTGCGGAGGATCCTAATTCACTTTCGCAATTTTACCGTGAAGAGAGATATTTTTTTAACAACAATTTTAATGTTTATTTTACTATTTAAAATAATCACTACTATTAGCACAAGAATCATGTGTTACACGTTCAAATACTTTTGTGAGGTTGGCGCCTTTGGTGTTTGCACTAACAATGTAAAAGCAGGGTTGTTAAAAAATTATATATTATTTAGGATGATAAATACATTATTATAATGTATCAATTTATATATTTTATTATAAAAAAATCTCACTTCGAACATATTATAAGAAAAATACGTAATAAAATACGTACTGACCATAGCGAGTACGATTAATATGTGAAATCATGAATATATAAAACTTATCGTAATGTGTGGAGTTAAATAAATAAAACAACCGAAGCAATTGATAGGGGCAATACTAGTCTTCTAGATAATTGGAGGGCATGAGCGTCGTCTAAAGATGCGTTTTGACTCTTATTTTGTTGTTTGCTTTTGAACTTTTTGGGTTGTGGGTCCATCTCACACCGGCCCATACCAAATTGTGACATCCATGGGCCTATCTTTCGCTATTCTTGTTGTAGCCCACCGACGCAACCAATATATCGCGTCTACTTCCTTTTTTTCATTTTATATCATAATATTTTTTTTTCTAAAACATTCCTGACAACAATTTAAATTATTAGTTGTGCAACTAATCTATCTACGTTAGAATATATAATATTATATCATTATAATGTTAAAATTAAACATCACTTGTTTTATTTATTGACTGTCGATTAATGTTATATAATTATATAGAAAAAAGATTGTATGTATTTAAAATGAAATATTTCAAGTTATATAATTTTTATATGAATAAGGAAACGCATGAAAAGAAAATGAAATTATTGTAAAGGTAAATAAAACAAAAAAGACAATTATGTTAACATATATAGATTATAAGTTTCTCTTATTTTATATTTAATAAACACCTTATCAAATTTATGCTAAATCAATAAGTTACAAGTTAACATAAGACATAATAGTTATATTTGCAGCTAGACTAACATAATTAAGAAACAATTTTACTTAGAGTGTCTTTTAAAAAGTTTATATAACTTATAACTTTCATAAATTAATAATTTATTTTATTAGGCTTCTTAATATAGTTTATTAAAACAATTTTAAAAAATAGAATTAAATGTATAACAAAATTATATTTAAAAATTACTTATTAAAAAAATTGATTAAGTTAGATTCTTAAATGCACCATTAATCAATAACAGATATGTTATCATCACAAATCAAAGATTATTCAAAACTTTTTCATGTGATCGTCTCCAAATTCATCATGAAATAACTGTTGGAGGCCTAAAAAACTAAGGAGGCTAAACATAAGTCCAACTCCCAACTACGTGAAAGGGAATTGAGTGAAGAAAATGGTGAAAACTGAAAAGCCATTAAACAGTTTACGCATCGAGGCATTGTATTTTAAAATCAAAGGTCTGATTCAGTGATTCTTCAATATTAGACTCCATGCAATCAGATAAGGAATATGATGTTTTCAGATCAAACAAGCTATGCTTACCTTGTTTGAAGTTTATTTTATTTTTAAAAAAATATGTATTAAAATATATTTTTACTTTACATTGTGAAAAATATACAGCAATAATGCAATGAAAACGAATTTAATTTGACTACAATAAAACCCTTCAATTTAATTATTGAAGGAAAATATTAAAATTAATTTTTGAATATGTTGTTTATCATTTATTTTAGTTTTTGAAATATATGATTTTCTTACTTTATTTTTTAAAAATAAAATATTCAAATTAATCGTTAAATGTATGATGCTTTTATTTTTAGTCTCACGTTTAAAATTTATTAATTAACTTTAAGAGAAATAAAAATGTTTCATGTTAAATGTAATATGATATACTAATAAAGTTTTAAAAAAAATTATATTGCATATTTTAAGTTTTATCACAGCACATTAAAAAAATATAAAAAGATTTGCAAGTTTAAAAAAAATGTAATTTGTGAAATAAATATAAAATAACATAGCAAAGTATATATTTTAGTTAAAATTTAACATAATCTATATTATAGCTCATAATTTTATTGAAATATTTATACAATTATCATTTTATAAAATATATATTTGTTATTTTATTTACAATTCCAGGTTGCTTGAATTTTAAAATTCAAATTAAATCAAATATTGTATTTTACAAATTGTTAAGTACCTGTGTTTGTACATTCAATGTTCTACATTCGCTCACTAAATATGTCATATTATATAATAATTTAAATAATATATATTTTTAAATATAGTTTTTAATAAAAATTTCAATGCTAATCATTCAAAATAAAAATATAATTTTATTTATAAATAACATGTTATATTAAAAATTGTAGAAAGAATTGACATACATAAAAAAAGAATATTTTATTTTCTTGAATTGCTTACATAAAGTATATAAAATATTTAAAAATGCCTATAAAATAACATAATTATCATCTATAATGTCAATATCATCGTTAGAGACTCAGAATTACATAATTAACTAAAATTAGTATTTTTTTTCAGTTAAATTTATTAATAAAAATTTTACACAAATAAAAATGTAAAATATTTTTTCTATGACATTACATTTAGTGCATTCTCATCTATATGATATAAATTTAACTAATAAATTTTAAATAAAATTATAATAAATAACATGTTAAGGATTAATTAATTAATTAATTTAATTTGTATACACCGATATATTATTATTCAATAATAAATTATTATATGAGAAAAAAATTATAATTTTATGATAATTGATATAAAATCTATACTTGTGATGTATTTTAATTAATTATTAACATAAAAACTCTACTAACATTGTACGATTTAATTTTTTATGAGTAATATATATATATATATATATATATATAAAATAAAATATAGTGTTTAAAATTTTTACTAACATTTATCATTTTATTACTCAGGCTAGACTTCCTATTGTATTGAGACCTAATTAGTAATGGGATATTTTTTCTTAAAACTGCTTATCAATTTATTTTTAAATTCTCCTTATCTAATTACCAATCTAATGAGATTTTTAAATTGGTTTGGTAAAGGAATGATCTTCCTAAGATAAAATTATTTTTTTAGAAATTGTCTCATGGTAAACTTCTTACTAATGAGAAAAGATTTAGAAAAAATATGACTAATGAGGCCCCTGAAACTTTTATACATGTTTTTATGCTATAAATATTTAGAATAATGTTATATTATCTAACTAATTTGTTTCTTTTAATAGTACTGGTTTGAGCAATTGGCTGAAATTGAATATTGTTGATTTTTTTTTTAATAAGATTCAGTGCTGGAGTTGGTTGTTTGATATTTTTGTTTGGCATATTTAAAAGAGTAGAAATACTTTTATTTTTCAAAATCATATTATCCAATTTAATATTTTGGTTCACATAATTCGTTATGATTTTGAATTTATTAATTTTTGTTGCAGGGACCCTTCTATAAACCTCCCAAAGTTATTTCAAGATCAGTTAATTACAAAATGATTTCCTCCTACCTTTGGTTAGATAAGGTTAAACATAGACAAAGCAGTTTCTATAGCCAAGAGGTTAGCTGCTTGTGGAGATCTTAAGGAACTACCAAAGTCATCTCATTGTTAAGTTTTATAGTAAGATTTAGTTTTATTTTCCTCGCAGAACTTTGGACCATTTACACGATAATAAAATTGGCTATTTTTAAAAGTGTTAAAGCTATTTGGATTGAAAGTGACTCCAAATATGTCTTGTCTTTAAGTTTGAATATCCAGTCTAATGATCATCTCGTGTATGTCTTGATTTAAAGAATTAGGAAGCTTTTGAATCATGTTAAAATTATTAAGTTTTAAGTTTAGACACATTTATAGAAAAATAAATCATTATACTAATAGATTAGTCAAAATGGGCTTTGAAAAGATAGTCCTTTTTTTAGTTTTAAAGATACCCTTCCTAAGCATGAATATTTTTTACTCTAGATTTTCTATCAGAATTCTGTGATTTTTTTGAGCTTTTAACCCATTTGAATAGCAAAAAATAAAAATACAAAAGTATAAAATAAAAAAATAATAGATAATTTTTTATAGAATAAAAAAAAATTTACAAAATTTTTAAAATCATCACTAAAAATTAAATTTTTTTATAAAATTTATAAAGTTAAAATTTGTTAATAACAATTTTTTAAAAATTATAAAAAATATCGTAAATGATGATTTAAAAAAATAATGTTTATTTTAAGTACTTAAAAAAGTCCACATTATACTTAATAAAATTTATATACAAATATTATCTTTGACAACAGACAGAGACTACAAGACAGTACACGTACGTAGTAATATTAAATTAATATTACACGTGTCATTAGCTATGCTAATTATTTAGGTCTTTATTGCTTCTATACGCATCGTTTAGTTATGTCTGGAATGCATGATGTGGAACAGTGTACAGCACACAAGTGTCTTGTTAAATCAATATTCTATACTCAGATCTCACATCACATCACTATTCAGTAGCAGCTTGTGGATTAATTGCATGACGCAATTTGTCATGCTCCTAAATATTGTTAAAACTTGTGCCTTTTTCTATTTAGCATTTGTCAATTTTAT